TAATACATTTCAAACCCAATTCAATTATTCATCTTGGATTGATTTTTGTTTATTTTTGGACAATTTATATTTGATTTTACTACTTGTTGATTGATCTTACTGGTTACAATTAATTATATTTTTACAGTCTACAGAGGTAGAATCTAGATGTTGTTACTGTTGTACAAAGAATAAGTTTGTTGGTTTACTTATTTATATTTGATTTATCTTTGTTTATCTTTGGATAATTTATATTTGATTTTATGTTTGAAAAATTTTAATTAGTTGTGTTTGAATTTTACAAATTTTGTTCATTATGATTGAATATTAGTTTTTTATAGGTGAAAAAATTCATATTTTGGTAAAGATTAGCAAGGAATCTAGAGGGGGAGCAAAATCCGCCTCATGTCAAAAATCCTTACAATGATCCCCATCCCTACTATACATGAGGATAAGAAGACAAGAATAAGGAGGGACTTCTCGACCCCATAGGGGCTCATTGCTACCTTATATAATATAATATTAAATAAGTATATACATATAATATTATAAGTGAATTTTTAAATAAAAGAATTAATTTTGTTGATACTAAACTTTGCAATATTTAAAAGCCACGTTAGAATTTAATTAATTTGAAATTGAGTTAAGTTAATCTCCAATTACCCTACAAGGAAAACAATTTTCCTAACACTTATTTCACTATTTATAAGATTTAAATTCGAAATCTTATTTAAAGAAAATCAAATTCCTTTCACTTATATTAACAAGTTATAAGTATAAAAGAATTAATTATATAATAATATATTATATTAATTTTTTATAAGATAATATATCATATTATAAACTTATAATACTTTATAATATTATAATTATAACATTTTCAAAAAGTAAAAATGCTCTATTGATCTCCCTTTTTGTTTTATTTTATTTTATTTATTTATTTATATATTTTGAATTTGTTGATATCGAATCGGTAGAGTTGAACCCATCTACTTGTATCATATAGGAGTCGTGCACGCCATACAAATTGAACAAGCTCAAGTAAGCCAATTGACTAGGGGTTTCACAACCATTAACCAAGCAATATATATATATATATATATATTTTTTTTGATAGGAAATGGAGAAATTATATTAAATAACAAGAAAGTATAGAAAAAACTCCATGACAGGGCATGCAGCCTAAAGCATTATAACCAAAAGACAAATCAGAAGCATAACCTACAGTACTAGTAACAGATTTAAATTATATCCATAACAAATATAGACAATTAAGTAAAGAGAGCCATCTGCAACTAGGGATTGCAATTACAATCGCTGTATGGGTTAAATAGGGCTACAAATGTGGAAAGGAGAGCCCGTTTGAGCATTAGAAGCTACTGGATATCCTCACCTATTTAACTAGCTTCATGGGGAGAGCAAGAGATTCCGACAACAAACAGTCTCCAACCTGTAGGTTGCCACCCTATTAAGGGAACTAGAGCCCCTTTGCCGGCTTGAATATCATGCTTCCCGCGTAGACCATAATCGCTGGCACCCACGACTTTCCTTTCGTATTCGACTACCTGATCTGAAATTGGAATCAACTAGCATTGCCGAATTCGACCCTCACCAAGATCCCATCCAAGAAGATGCGTCAAATTCCAATTGCAGCCTTAAAAAATTAATCACAGATGTAGATCTGAATGACACTACCTTGTGGTCCCTTGGGCTGAAGTTTCCAAAGCAAGACAAACGATGAAGGTGAATGAGAGATCGAAGAGGAAGGTAAGGGTAAGAAGAAAGAAGGAAAGAATGAGAGAAGGAGAGAAGGAACTCCTATGCCAGAGAGAAACCCTAAGGAGGAAAACCCGCCACCTTTACTCTCAACCCTAAGCAGAGCACGGGAGAAACCCTAGGGGGGAGAAACCTTAGGGGGAAGAAACCCTAGGAAGGGAAGGGTTAACTTTGATATTGAAATTAATTAAAAATTAAAAATTTACTTTTGTTTTAGATAATGGTCCCAACAGAGAACACTCAAGGAAAGTCTTAAAGTAAATGAACATGTTATATTTACAATATCATTCAAAATTATACATTTATAATTATAATATAATATTAAATATATATAATATTAGGGGTGACAATTTCTCTTGATCCCCACATGCATGGATCCCCATTATGAGAAGAAGAGAGAAGGAATATTCCTCCCTATGGGGCAAGGATGGGGTCTATTTTTCTCCCATGAATTTATGTGAAGAACTTTTCTCGCCTTGTGACCCCATGAGGATTTCATTCCCATGAAAAATTAAAAAAATATATAAATTAATTTTATTTTAAATTTAATTCAACCTAATATATTAATACATTTCAAACCCAATTCAATTATTCATCTTGGATTGATTTTTGTTTATTTTTGGACAATTTATATTTGATTTTACTACTTGTT